CGTATTAGACTTTTAAATCTCTCCCTCTCTCTAACCCAATCAGTTTTAGAGGACCTGAGAGTGAGGCCCTAGAGTTAGAGAAACTGGTTCTGCAAGGAATGGTCGGCCCCAGTGCCTTGGAGCGGAGAATTTCTGTGGGTTGTCAGCCCCATGTCAATAGGCTTTTTTTCAATATCTTTTGTCTGGATCTTCTTCAAGATAATTTTTTTCTGGCTGTGACCCAATTTGCTCCTTGGATTGTCTATATTTCTGCCTTTCTGGGTTTTTCCTGCATCTTGGCCATGAATATTTGTTTTGGGACAAAACCTTTCAAGTCTTCCTCAAGAGGTAAGACCATCACCAGGGTGATTCCCTTTTTTTTTTTTTTTGAGCCAGAGGCTTGCTCTGTCTCCTGGGTAGAGTGCTGTGGCATTATCATAGCTCACTGCAGACTCAGACTCCTGGGCTCAAGCCCAGATCTTCCTGCCTTAGCCTCCCCAGTAGCTGAGACTATAGGTGCTCGCCACCACTCCTGGCTAATTATTCTATTTTTTGTAGAGTCAGGGTCTCACTCTTGCTTAGGCTGGTCTCGCACTCCTGACCTCAAGCGATCTTCCGTCCTCAGCCTCCTAAAGTACTAAGATTATAGGCATGAGCCACTACACCCAGCCTGGTGATTCCTTTCTTAAAACAGAGGAGTCTCTTTAATTGAACAAAACTTCCTTGAGCACCTGCTCCATGCTAGGCTCAGAGATCAGAGGTGGCTCAGATGGAGTCTGTCTTTGAGGAATCTATTTGTATGACCCTGGGGAAGACAGGCTCATACACGTATAAATGCAACATGGTGGTCTAGGCCCTGCTCTGATGCACATAGCATGAGAGCCTGTGAGGACCAAGGAGGGAGCAGTTAGTTCATCTTACAGTGCCTGAGAGATGAGCAGGTAGGGGCCAAAGTGGGTGAGAGTAGGAGGAGTTCCCAGCAGAAGGAGCAGCTTCTAAAAAGGTCCAGGGTTAGAAGGGGGCACTGTGTGGTTGGGAAATGTGTGTTGAGTTACCATATGTGACATGCAGGTGGAGAGGTAGGCTGGGGCCCTCAGCAGAGGCCTTGAATTCCAGGCTAGAGTAGGGACTTTCGCCCCATGTGCAACAGAGGTGGCACACGTGGTACAGCCCAAGCAAGGGAAGGAGGAGATCAGAGGTACATTTAGAAAGATCTTTCAGGTCTTTCACTGAGGCAGATGGGAAGATGCTAAGACAGGGCAGTTAATTGAAAGGCTGTTGCTAGGGCCTGGAAGATCTTAAGAAACATCCATCCAATTCCTTTATTTTATAGATGTACAATCTGAGGTACAGAGAGGTAAAGTGACTTGCCCAAGGTCACCTGGCAAGATTAATGTCAAAGTCAGGGCTTCAACTTGTGGATCCTGCCTCTGAGCACAGGCCTCCTCCACTAGCCCAGGACCCTCCGAAGGAGAGGCAGACTACTGAGATTTCCTGTCATCCTTGCTTCTCAATCTGTAGTGTTCTCCGCCCCTACTGCAGGCCAGCCTGCTAGGGCAGTGACGGGGACGTGTTCCCAGAGGACGGGGCAGGGAGCATTGCTGGTCGGCTTTGGCAGATGCTGCTGCTGCTGCTTCTACACTAATCAGGGAGCTTTCCAGCCGCAGGAGGAAGCCAGAAGCCAGGGGATGGGGCTGTGGTGATTTATGACTGCACAGAAACAGCAGGACAACAATGTCCCTGGCTGGCCTGCTTGTCTGCCAACTCAGCCAGAGAGGATGCATTTGAAAGGTCACGTCCTCCAGCACTGGAGAAGGTGGTGGAGGGTTCCCCTGTGTCAGGTCAGTCATCAGAGGGCAAGGGCCCTCCTTTCCTGAGCAGATGCCGAGGGTAGATCCTCGTGGCCTGCACAAGAAAGGGCGCCTTTGCTACTGGGAGTCAGAAGATCTGCCTGGGTTTGAATTCAGGCTCTGTCCGTCACTGGCTGTGTGACCTTTGGCTGGTCACACAGCCTCTCTGTGTCTCAGCTTCCTTGTCTAAAAAACAGGGATGATTCTGAGCCTCTTGACCTTTGGGCCTCGACTATCTCCCAGGTCTGCAGGCACAGACTCCCTGTTTCCACAGCTAAAGAATGCCAGTACCTTCCATTTCAGAAGAAGAATATGCCGAATCTAGAACTATGACTCATCACAGCTGGGTGGGGCAGCTAGTGCTCATTTGGTTTAATTTCTCATTTTCAAGGTGGGGAAATTGAGACCCAGAGAGGGGACAGGTCTTGCACACACAGCTGGGAGCCAGGCAGAAGCCAGAATGCTGGTTCTCCACCTCCCTGTTCCAGGTTTCTTTCAGCACTGTCAGGCAGTGGAGGAGGAAGCCAGGCTCTGAAGCCACTTGCTCTGTGTAATGTCGTCACGCCTCTGAAGCAGCCTTCTATACAGCCAGGGCCGCTGGGTAGCTACAGCTTTAAGCCTAGAGCCTTAAACAGTCCAAAGGGAAAGGAAGGCACGGCCAGCTCTCCCCTGCACCACTGGAGGGAAGTCTCGAAGTGGAGATTGCAGATGTCATTCCTGTTTGGCTGTCTGGAACATCCTTTTCTTTGCATCTGCTTTACTTTTTCCAAACAGATTTGGCCTGAGCTGTTTTGTTTTCTTTCTTTCCCTTCTTTTTTTTATTGCATTAGACTGGTCGGAGGGAAGGAACTGAGGTGGAGAGGTCAGAGAGAGTTCCTGAGATTTAGCATCTGGCCCTGGATCATTGACATGTTTAATCCACATGTGGACAACCAGGGGTTGGCTGTAAGGGCTCATTCCCACGGACTTATGCTCAGGCCAGAGTGGTTCAGGCCTACCCTGCAGGGAGGAAGAGAAAGGAAGAGGAATGACTTGGCGAACACTCATGCAAGAGACAGAAGGAAGTGGGAGGGTTTATTCACCAGCAGGATTGCATTTTGCTGGGTGGTGTGGTAAGAGAAGAGGGGCCAGGCCAGATCCTATGTTGGAGGAGGGGGAGAAAACTATTTCTAGATTCTCTCCCCACTCAGTCCATCTCCTACACTTCTGCCAGAGCAGTCTCCCCAAAGTACATTCCTTCCTTCCTTCCCTCCTTCATTCATTTCTTCATTTCATTTGTTCTAGGTACTTACCATGTGCCAGGTATGGTGGTGATGGTGATGATGAAGATGATGAAACACAAATCTGATCATTTTCTGCCATTGGTGAAATCTCTCACAAGCTTGCTATTTATTTCAAAATAATAGCTTCACTCCTTAGCCTGCCATTCAATGCCCCTGATGTTCTGACTCTTGAGTCTGTTCCTGCCCCCATTACCCATCACTTGAAACAAGAGACAAATCAGATTCTCTGCCTATCAACAGACATATCAGGGAAGCTAAGCACAGTGACACACACCTGTAGTTCCACCTACTTGGGAGGCTGAGGCAGGAGGATCACTTGAGCCCAGGAGTTTGAGGCTAGCCTGGGCAATACAGCAAGACCCCATTTCTAAAAAATAAGTAAAGAATAGGTAAGTAGGGGAGGAACTTGCCTTTGAGTCTTGCTGCCTGTGCCTTCTGCCTGCTTTCAGATCCTACAATCCTTTAAGGATTAGGTTGGAAATGTTACCAACTTCCCTGGAGAAGCTTTTCAGAACCTCTTCCTATCCATCCTGAAAGAATTTCTTTGAACAAAATATGTACAGCACTTAAAACATTCTGAATTCCTTGAGCACAGGGTTGCTCTAGCATCTAGCATACAGCCTGGAATATTCCCTTACAGAAACTCTTTCATTTTAAGTTCTCATACACACTTCATAATCTCCTCTTTTATTTTTCACTTATCATTTTCTAACATACTCTACATGTTTATCTTGCCTATTTTCTTGGGCAGGGCTTTTTGTCTGTTTTGCTCACTGCTGTACTTCATTGCTTAGAGGAGTGCTTGAAACATAGCAAGTGCTCAATGGATAATTGTTGAATAAATGAGATAAATAAAATATGCAGTCAAAAATGGGATGTGTGAGCTACGTGGAATGTCTAACAAGGAAGCCTATGAGCAAGAATATGCAAGACTATGACCTCAGTATGTGTGACTCAGGAGGGGAGGCAAGGGTTGGATAACCAACAAACCCTAGGCACAACTAGTGTTAGGCATGGGGTAGGCTTTTGGTAACTGAACTGAATCTTTAGCACCCCACCCTGGAGAGAAAGAAGGGGCTCTCCAGGGTCAGCCTGCATGCAGACAGCTGCATCCTTTCTGGAAATTAACCAGTATGGCCAGCCGATATTTGTCCGTCCATGTTTTCACCTAGTCAGGCCCAAGAACCTCAAGGTGGGGTGGGGACCTAGACCCTTGTGGGTGGAGGGGCTGTCAGTCCCCAAGGTTTGGCCCCTTAATTCGGCCATTCCGCGGGCGGGCCCCACCCTGACAGTTTGGTTCAACAGTGGACGTGCCACCTCTCCTTCCCCTACCCCGTCCCCCACCATGACCTGTTACTTTAGCTCGGAAACAGGGTCTAGGACTGAGGCCCCTGCCCCCTCCTCTCGTAATTTCCCGGAGAATATGGGGCGGGGCCGTGAATCAGCACTCGCTCAGATTGATGCAGCCCTCATCCCCGCCAGGGGTCCCCAGCGGCCGCCGGATTAGAATCCCCCGACCAATCCTTCCTGCGCCTGCGCGCTACGTCCGCTGGGAGTTGTAGTCCTGACCGCCCCTTTGTCCTTGGTCTCCTCAACGTGTCAGCCCACGGCAGGACGAACTACAACTCCCAGGGGCTCACGCGCCGGAGGCCTAGCAGGGCAGGGACGTGAGGGGGAAGGGCAGAGGGGTGTCTGGAGAAGCTGGGACGAAGGGCCGGGGGTGAAGTGAAGAAAGGGGAGTGTTGGGGGGCGCGGGGGAAAGCGTGGGGAACTCTCAGAAGCCGACGGCGGTGAGCCACGTAGAGAAGCACAGGTTCCAGCCGCGGCAGGTCCCGGGCGGGGCCTGGGCGGGGCGCGCGGGAGAGTGGGCGGGGCCGGATTGCGTCACGCGGCGTGGGCGGGGCTGCAGGGGGTTGTCCGCCCGCGGGACGCACAGCAGCCGCAGCCGCCTTGCGCCCGGTCCCGCGGTCGCAGCTCCAGCCGCTTTCTCTGCGCCGCCGCTGTCGCTTCAGTCGCTCGCTTCGTGGGTCGGTCCCTCCGGCACACGGGCTCCAGCCGCACCGCAGCCGCCCTCCAAGCCCTTCAGGCCGCCCCAGTCTCCTCCTCCGGCCCGACGCAGCCCGCGAAGATGGTGGATCGCGAGCAACTGGTGCAGAAAGCCCGGCTGGCCGAGCAGGCGGAGCGCTACGACGACATGGCCGCGGCCATGAAGAACGTGAGTATCTCCTCCCCTCCCCCCGCCTGGCCCCAGCTCCTCCAGAGACACGGACATTGGCATGGAAGGCCCAGGGGCCAGTCGCCTGTCGCTACTGCAGGGTGGCCGCCCCATTACTCTCGTTGAGGGGCTGGGGAGGGTCCTGATAGCGATATGGACCCAGGTTGTGACGCGGGGCTCTCTCTTGCGTCCGCGAGGCCCTCCGCGGGCTCGGGCTGGGGCAGGATCTTGCTGGGCTGGCCTCTGGAGCGGGGTCTCTGGCCCCCGCTTCTGCGGGTACGCAGGGGCCTTGAGCGGGGGCTGTGCGCATCCTTTGTGCCCCACTTCCCCTCCTCCCAGCCTAGGCGTGGGGGCGGGGGACCGCATGGATGCGGTTCCTCTTTCTCTCCCTGGTGTCTGGGCGGCGCCTTTCCCATTCACTCAGCAGGTCTCCCGGTTTTCCACACCTCCCCCCACCCCCAAATCTTCTTCACTGTGTCTCCTGACAGATCCTTTAGAACCTCCGTAGGAAAAAATGCAGGCTCTCCTGAAAACCTGGGCTTAATGGTGCAAAATCGAAACCACCTTGTTCACGTTTTTCTTAACAAAAGGCTCCTCTTCTCCATTCTCCAAAGCAAGTCCTCTGGCTTTTAGGAAGGGGGAACGTTTGTCTCGATAGCGTTTTCATTGATCGTTCTCAACATGTCATCTCCATTTTTTCTGATGCTTTTGTATTGAAAAGGGTAGGTATTGCCTTTAAAATAAAGGTTGTGAATTTAGCTGACTGGTTCAATTTGTGACATAAGCTGTTTCTTTTTTGAATACAGGCACGCGTCTGTTGAAATTCCTATAAGTTGAAAAAAATATTCTGTCTGATCTGATATTGCAAACAAAGCGGTGGTGGGAGGCAGTCTCAAGTCATTCCAGAAGATTCTGCATTTGTCATATTGCAGAGAGCCTAGACTGGGTGGAGGCTGGGAGGAGTTATTTTAAAGGAGAAAAAGTCTTTTTTAAAAATTTGTTTTAGCTATATCTGAGGTTTTTTAAAAAAGGTGGTGCATCCTCATGCTGATGAAAAGAGACTACTGATCTCCAGTTGTCGCATTTTGTCTGGGATGCAGATTCCTGCTTGTGTTACACCATTTTGTCACTAACTACATTTATCTAATGGGTTGTCAACCAGTTTTAATATTAGAGGGGGGAAATATTGAACATTTGTTAAAGGTGGAAAAATTAATGATTTATGTCTCCCACGATCTTAATATTTGACTTCCTGCCTTATGTAACAAAGGTTTTAGAATGCATCTCCGGTGTGAAGTGGATGAAGGAGTGTACCTTGCATGTTAAATCTTTTAAATGAAGTATAACAAGTATTACAGATCAATTCTTGAATAACTTGGCTAGTTCTCAAAAGATGATAGTACCTTTTATATTCAAACCACCTACATTAACAAAAAAAGGTTTTTATTTTACTAAGGGAAATGGTTCTGAAATTGGGAATACGGCTGTATTAATATGTGGCCACAGTTGCTGTCTTACATTTTAATGCTCAGATGATGTAAGTTGCACATTTAATAGGTATCAATATTGGAAATATCTTTAGTTTGTGTTATTTAGATTCTTCTAATTTTTCCGTGTTTCTAGTTCCACAGGAAGGCGAGTGACCTCGCACCTATATCCATAGCAACCCAATGATGTCACACACAATGACACAGAGGCTGCAATGCACCTAAGGGCTGGTAGGGAGTATGCAAATGGCATTTGTCCAAGGTAATGCAGAAATTAGCTGATAAGCCAGGTGGAGTTGAGCACTTCATCTTCTACCAGATAAGAGTTGGTCAAAAAAATAGCAATTTCATTTACCCTTAGACGTGCGTATCAGTGACCTCTAGATAGGCCATATTCACCTTCCTGTTTCTAGTTTTGTCACAAAAGTTTATAAGATGCTTTAATATTGTTAAACCTTCATCTCACTTATTTAAGATATTGGACAATGATGGAATAAAAATAGAAATTTTAAACATTTTAGATCAGGATTTGGGAAGGTTGTCTTTTACTATATGCTTCTTGATAGAATATGAGAAAACAATAGTTTGTAATATAAACCCTTTTTAAACTTGTTTATTGTGACTTTGAAGAAATAGGCTTTCCTCTGATCCTCATTTTCCTCATCTATAAAATGGGACAGTAACTACTTGAAAAAGTTGTGGGGATTAAATAAAGAATGTAGTCGGTTCTCCAAAATGGCAACTACTTAAACTGTTTCTTTCCTTGTTTATGAAAGTCATCATGGAGATTTTGGAAGGTACAAAGAAAAAACTCAGTCTTACTGCTCAAGTGAGCTCTTGCTTAAGGCTGAAATCATCCTGATGATAAGAGAGATTAAAATTTATTTGCATTTAAGGAAATTATCCTAGTAATGGCACTGTTGGGATCCATGCAAAAGGATAGTTGTATGTCGGTGACCAGGATAGAAATACTGTAATTAGTGCAGTATTTTGAAAAGGGGGAAAGAAAAGTTAGGTCTTTTAAGACAGATGTTTAGTCTTGCATTTAAGGAGAGAGTGAACACCTAGATGATTCCTACTTGTTAGACAATACTGGCTTGTCCTTTGGCTTTTTAATAGCCTCTTGAGAAGTTAATATACTAAGTAGGCTACTGGTACTTGCCTCAGGGGGGAGAAAAAGGTTCTGGGCTACTAAATTTGTTGAAATTACTGGGTTAAGCAATTTAACTCAGTGGGGGGCGGGCATGGGTGGCAAAAGGCTTTCGTAATTTTATATATGTGTATATATATATATATGTGAATCTCCCTGCTAAAATCAATAGACTTTGAAATTCTTACTATCTTAAATATTCCATTTTTCCTGCTAGCTCTTCCAGGAGGCTAGATCAATAGCCATTATCGCTAATGGAGTAATGACACCTCTGCAGGCCCTTCAGAGGTGGAGTTCTGCCAACCATTATTCTAAGTCATGTGGTTTGAATTGTTCTCTTCTTTGGGGTAGAAAGAATACAGCTAACAGTTTGCTTTGTATGTGTTATCCTTCAAAATAACTGAAATGAATATTAAGTGCTTTTTCTAATTTAGAAAATCTCATGTGTCTTTGAATTCTGTTGAGATAAAAGATGTGCTAAACGTGCATCCTTATTAAGAGTCCTCTGGATTAATGGCACACCCAGGGTGGAATTTCATCTCTAGTACTCGGGGAAGCCTTATTTATTAGGCCAATTTCTAAATTATTGTAAATGATTTTGTTTTTATTGAGGTAGAAGTCACATAACATAACCTTAACAGAGTCACATAACATAAAATTTCAAGTGTACACTCGAGTAGCATTTAGTACATTCACAATGTTGTGCAGCCATCGCCTCTATCTAGTTCAAAAAATGAGAAAATGGTATTTTAAAAAAGTGGCACTGGTCTGGACTATGGCTGGCTGGATTTAAAAACATGATTACCGATTCAGGAATGTGTCAATAATGAAGTGCCCACAACAGCTCGCAGCCAGTGATAATTGTTTATCCCTTTGTCTGTGTTTTCTAACATCTCAACCTTTTCAGCATAAACTGAAAAAAGGGACTTAGCTTTAGTTAACTTTGTTTTGTATTTCCATTTAAAAAGTTATAGAACTTAAAAGCCATGTAATGTTTACCCAAGTAAATAAGAATAATTGATCTGACATCTGAGCAAACCATTAACTATTTGCAGATGATGGAAATTTTGCTGGTGTTCTCATGACTCATTTTCAGCCCCAAGGCTGACTTTATTCTAAATGATTTGCCTCCTGTGTGGTGGTAGTGCTCTCATGAACCCTATGCAGTCCTGAGATTGGTGAGCTATTCCAGCATGGTAGTCTAAACTAATGGGACACCAGTGTGTAAGATACTAAATCCATTGTTGTCAGGAACTGAATAAAAAGTGAATGAGAGTTACCTTCCTCCCTTCTCACCCCCAATATCACCAGCCCTAACCTTTTATCTGGCAAGGATTATTTCTGTTTTCCTACCACATTCCATGGAACATGGAAGAGAAGAAGCAAGGACCACTTTATATGTTTAATGGTCAAAGGGAAAAATCACTTTTCATTTAATAAACCGCTATCTTCTCTTTTGCCTTTTTAAAGCTCTGTTTCGTAGCACTTTACCAGGTATTCCAGCCTATGTGATTAACCACCAACCCGTATTATCTTACTTTAAATTGGCATTTGTAGAAATCTCGGAAATTTTGTTATTTTACTAAACTAATTGATATGTTTGAGTGGTAGAAAACTAGTGACATGAAAAGTGATAAAAGTTGCCCAAAAAAAGCATTAATTTGAAGATAAATAATTAAATAATTGGTTTGATAACCATGATTTTGTAGAAGCAATAAATATTGTAAATCTTAGAGACCATTTGCATGAGTCTTTTTTCTTTTCAAGAACTGGCGAAGTCTAAGCCAAATTGCCATCAGCATTTCATTTGTAAGGGTGTGTCCTATAGAAAGAGATACACTAAGTTTGGTTGTGAGTAGGTAAGTAGAAAAGAAAGTATTCTTACAAATGTAGGTTTTTAACATGACATTAAAAATAAAATCCCAAATAACGTAATTGGTCCCCCTCATCTTTGGCTCTATCAAAAGCCAGTCTTGGTGAGTGAGACCCAGGTACCCAGCTTTCCCTTCTGAATAGGTGTGTCCAGACTGGGAAAATGACAGTGACAGCAACTGAACATGTAATGACAGTAGCCGAAGAGGAGTCACGTACCACCCCCAACAGGCAGAGTGTGCAGAGCAGCTGCAGTGGGCAGAGTAGTGAGGAATGGCAGAGGGAGCAAGGGGAAGGCTTCAAAAAGGCGGGTTTCTTTTGAAGCCATAGAGGTCATTTAAATTGCTTTAGCTTACTAAAAGGAATTATTAATACGACATTACGCTACCATTTTAAAAAACCTAGACCTAGGAAACCAAGTTGCCTATGGTGTATAGGACTTTACAGATGTAGAACTAAGCTTGAAGTTTTTTTGACTGAATCTGTTCTAT